TATCATATATATTTTGTATGTATTTTGTTAGATTTATACCTAAGTATTTCATTTTTTTCTGGGTGAAATGTACATGAAATTATGAGTTTTTTCTTTTTTTTTTTTAAAGATTTCTATTTATTTATTGAGAGAGACAGTGATAGAGAGAGCATGAGATGGGGAGAGTCAGAGGGAGAAGCAGACTCCCCGCTGAGCAGGGAGCCCGATGCGGGACTCGATCCCGGGACTCCGGGATCATGACCTGAGCCGAAGGCAGTCGCTTAACCGACTGAGCCACCCAGGCGCCCCACCTGGTCCCTTTTTGATGGAATTTACAGTTTGGTGGAGAAGGTGACATTTTACAAGTAAACCTGTAATGTGATCCCAAATCTGACATAGCTCCCTAAGCACATGGGGTTACTGCCTGCCTGTGCATTTTGTTCATGTTCCTGCTCTGTGGGCTGACTTTGACCCCTGCTGCATTTCCTTTTCTGAGTCTCTGAGCTAGATTGGGGGTATCTCAGCCAACAAGCCCTTCTTCTCTTTCTTTGTCCCCCCTCTAGATTAATTGCCTTTCTCCTCTGTGTTCCCACAGTGCCCCGTGCTGTCCCTGTCTGTACTTTGTCCATTGTGTGGAAATTACTTGTTTGTATCAACAATCAGAGCTTTAGCCCTTCAAAGTCCAGATGCACATCGTGTTCATCTTTATACTTTCACTTGCTCATCTTGTGCCTCACTCCTAGTAGGTGCTTGACACATATTTGTGGGCTGACTAGACAAATGGTAGCCTTTGTCTTATTTGGGAACCAAACTCTACTCCTACTGGGTAAACCATCCTACCTGAACACCCAGCAGGGCCGTCCGGGAGAAGTGGGGGCTCCTTTCCCTTCTCTGAATGCTGTCTCAGATCATGCAAGGTGGAGTTTTGTTGTTGTGGCTTTGAGAATTTATTTTTTGTTAAAGCAACATTAGGTTTACAGCAAAATTGAGTAGAAGGTACAGGGATTTCTCATGTACCCCTGCCCCCCCAACCACAGCCTTCCCCATTATCAACATCCCCACCAGAGTGGTGCCTTTGTTATAATTGATGAACCCACACTGATGCATCAGAATCACCGAGTCCACAGTTTACATTAGGGTTCACTCTTGGCGTTCACTCTGTAGGCTTTTGACAAACGTATAACATGGATCCACCATTACAGTATCATACAGAGTACAGTGACTCTTGAACAACATGGGGATTAGGGGTGCCAGTTCCTCGCTCAAAGATTTACATATAACTTTTGACTCCCCAAACTTAACTACTAATAGCCTACTACTAACTAGAAGCCTTATAGATAACACAACCAGCCGATTAACACATATTTTGTATGTTAT